TTTTTTAGTATAAAGATTTTTCAAGCTGGGATGTGTCTTACTGTCTTTGTATGTTTCTGACCATTAGTACTTAATGAATATTTATTACATTTAACTGAAAGCTTATATAGCAAAACAAATTTGGCTGCCTGTACCTACTGCAACAAACCATTGTCAGTTATTAGATGACAGAGAATGTTAGTGCATTTTTTAAAAAACGACATATAACTGATTCTCATTATTTGTGTAGTTATGTGCTATAAATGCACCGAAAACACTGAATTAGCAAATACTGAGCCATTGGTCCTGGAGAAAACACAGGGTTGGGTTCCTGCAAACCTCTGGTCAGAACATTTTTGACAACAGACCCCATGCGTAACCTTGTTTTATGTGTGTTTCTGTTTAAAGCCGCCTTTAATATCTCTTGTTGATTCACTGACATTAACTCACGGCCCACAGCACTGGAGTCGTGACTGAAGGAAGCTTATCTGACACACATTTTCTCTGGAAGGCGCATCACAGCCTCGGGCTTAGGAACACTGTATAAGACTTGAGCACTACCCTTGGGGGCCATCATAAATAGTGAAATCACCAACAAATAGCACAAAATGTGAAAAAATGTGGCACTAGGCAGACCATAAAAAGGACACTGGTTTACAGTGTGAGAGTTGAACCAAGAAGACAGAGCGTCACCTTGATCGACCTCAGCTAGGAATATGCCCATCGGGTACCTCCAGGCCGCAAATGACCCTGAAAGCGGGGCAAGTTACAAATAAATTTTAGCAAGTAGGTGAATCTGCAAATCGGGATCCTGCAAAAAATGAGGATCACCTGTACTCTGTTTTATCAATTTCAATGTCCTAGAGTCAGTGAATTTCTTTTTTCCAGTAAGGAAACTGCATTTCCCCACCCACTGAACCATGGCTGCAGCCGTCTATACGGGTGTCAATCATGGAGGAGCCTCCAGAATTTGTCACAGGAGAGGGGTCTGGAGCAACAGGCAGTCTCCCATGTGCCTTGCAGTGGTAGCCTTGCTTCTGTGTGTGCATTTAGTCAGAGCTCACCCTGCAAGCTGTGTCAGGTGGTTAACTCTGAGAGCTCATGATTTAGAAATGCTTGCCCCAAAAAAACACCCCAAAACAAAAACCCCAAAATTGTTTTCTTCAGTTGATGGTGGTGCGGGGGGAGGGGACTGGAGAAGAGGAACTGCCCCCCCCCCAAAGCTGGTGCAAGGGATGGGGAGAGGGGGCTGGGCCAGATGCCCAGGAAGGAAAGGGTGGGGACAGCAATCAACCAGCAATCCAACTCGAGTTAGGCCTCACAAAGCAAATTACTGTTCTTAGAGAAGTTTCTTCTCCGAGGTGCCTGGCCTCAGTTTGCTGGCTGCCTGTGGAGATTGCGCTGTGAAAATTTCATACTGTTACCAAGTGCACAGCGAGGCCCCCGTGCCTTGAGTGGGTGCCCTGCCTGCCCTTGGGCTCTGCAGTGACTCTGAGTTCCCCGGGGAGGGCCCAGCGCAGCAAGCAGCTGTCAGCCCCAGCGCTCCCTCTCAGTAGGGCCAGGAGAGGAAAGGGCGGGGTGATGGGTTTGAAGGTTGAAGCCAGCAGCCAGATTTAGCAGTAGCTTTACACGCTCTGTGTAGTTTTCTTTATTTTTCCTTTTAGGGCTCTTTTGCCCCTGGCAGTCATGAAAGGTGATATTTTGAGGGTTATACTGCAGCGCTTTGGGATTTAAGGAACTGTGAGCTAATGACAATAACTCCAGTTGTCAAAGATTAATCACAGCTAACAGTTACTGAAGACTTACTACTGCCAGGTGCTGTTGTCACCACTTTACGCATAGTAGCTCCTTTAATTGGTCCTTTTCCAGCCCAACTGCCTTCCCAGGCAGGCACTATTATCATGCGTACTGTACAAATAAGGAAACTGAGGCTGTTAGTAAGTGAGCCCACCGGCATACAAGCTAGTAAGCCGGGGAACCAAGCCTCAAATACAGGCAGTCTGCTCCCGCGCTACACAGTTCTACTGAATTATAGTGAACCATCTTCAGTTTAACATCTCTGGTGTTTAGGATCATCGAGTCAGAATTCAGCATTGTGCACAGGCTCCTGGAGGAGCTCCACACTCAGTGCTTCCAGAGACAGAAAGATGCCCCTGACAGCCCTCTGTCCTCCAGGAATTATAATCTTGGGAGGGGCGGAAATAGCCAAGGAACAGGCAAAAAAGAGCAAGTGCCACAGAAGGGTCTCAGGTGCTCTTTGAACTCAGGGGTGCAGGAGAGAGCGCTGGCTGGAGTAAGGAGGTAGGGGCAGGTTGTTGGGGAGTCAGAGATAAATAGGGAAGGGTATCTTTAAAGAGGCAGCATTGAGATGGGCCTAGAAAGGGTCCCTCAGAATCATTCCATACCCTCAATGACCCTCTGCACCCAGGGTTAGCTGGGCAGTTGGGTAGTCATGCAGCCCGCCTTGCATCCTTAGAATCTCACTTCTCCTGGGCGGGGCTTTCCCATCTTAGCCCCTCCTCTCCCTCCAGCTTGGGAGTCGGGGGTGGGGGTCCAGAAGTGTTAGTGAGTGATGGATTGTCTGGATGTTTCACTGCAAACCTGGGCCATACAGTCCTTACACCTGTGTACATACTCCTGGCCTCGACACACAGGATGTTTGGAACTTCTCCTTAACCCAGCCATTAGGGTTGGTGCGTCTTGATGCCCTTTCCTTCCCATAATTAAAAGGGGGAAACGGTCAACAATGGAACATTGGGCAGTGAAAACACACTTGGATAGTCTTTGAATTTAGGCTTGCATTTAAATTCTTTGGGGTTCACCTGCAGATATTTATTTATTTATTTATTTATTTATTTATTTATTTATTTTGGGGCTCTTTGGTTTGTGTTTTAAAGCAATGTGATTCAAAGCACAGAGCCTGCCTTGAGTGTTTACAGCCCCTGAGACAGGTTGTCATGACCATGACCGTGACCATGTGAGAGGCATGGCCCAGCCCCTGGAAGCACAGGTTATTTGTGGTTTGGAGGTCCTGTGTTGGGTAGCGCCCTGCCTCCTCTCTGTATGGGGGCCCCTGAGAACGCTCAGTGGGAGATACCACCGTCTTTGTAAGGAGTGAGACTGTTTTCCCTTTTTTCTCCATGAACCCCATCGCTGCCGCCCACCCCTACCCCCCAATAGAGAGAAAGCCCAGTTCTTCATTCCCCAGAGAAATTAGAAAATGATTATAGTAAAGTCATAACAGATCCCATGACAATTTAAGATCACGAGTTTACAGGCAATTGGTGCTAGCTTTCCGGTGTGATTGATTCTTCTCTGCTATCCTGCTACAGAGGGAAAGAAGTATTAATAGCCTGTCATGCAAAAAAATTGACAATGTTATAAAAATAATCCTTCACTATGTGTTTTTTCTTCACTGGCCTCCTGCTGCTAAAGTAAATGAGTAACATTTTAAAGTATCCATTCTTTAACATCAAAATATTACCCATAATTTGATTCTCTCTCCCCCTTTTGTCTTCATGTGAGGAGAATAAAGCTAGCGAAATAACTGTGATAGCTCTTCACATAACCATTCTCCAGTAGGTACCATGAAATGTACAGATCCTGTGATGGGTGGATCTATCCAGCCTTGGGCGCTAGGGAAGTAGTGATAGTCCATACAAGAGGCATCTTTCAGTTGTTTCAGTTATATTCAGGGTAGCCTACTCACCTCTCAAGATTTCACCCACTTACGTATTCGCCTTTCATTTTGTGTCAAGTTCAAGTCTTATATTCTTTTATATATGGATAGGAGGCTCTGTTACATGCTGTGGCATAGGATGTATAGGATGCTTTCTTCTGCAAGAACTAGAAAACACAAGTCAAATTGGCTTTAGCAGTAAAGGGAATTTACTGGCCTATGTTGCTGAAAAATCCAAAGGCGGATGGCTTCAGGCAAGGGTTGATTCAGCCACTCTACCATGTTGCCCCAGATCTAATTTCTTTCCTTCTACTGGCTCTGCTTCTGCAATGATTGGCTTTAAACCAAAAGTGGCTCCCCTCATGGTCCCAAGATGGCTGGCGGCAGCTTTGGGGTATGAAAGAGTCTCAGAAAAAGTCTTTGTTTTCATATTCTCTGGAAGGTCTTACTTAGGTCAGGTGCCTATCACTGGAGCCAAGAGAGCATGGTGCACTGATTGGCTTAGCCTAGGTCACATGACCTGCATCTATAGTTGGGATTGGAGTCAGCTTCTCAGAACCACAAAGATAGATAGATAGATAGATAGATAGATAGATAGATAGATAGATAGATAGATAGATAGATAGATAGAAAAAGAGGAAGATAGTGATGCTGGGGAAGCAACCAGCAAATGTCTAGTTTATAGGACTTAGTTCCTGAAGAGTGAACAAAATGTGTATAGCTTTTCTTGTTCTGGGTGATCGATAAATTGATAAGTTAATAAATATTGGTGGTAGAAATATGTCATCAGAGTCAGGGCCCTGTATATTTTTCTACCAATTCCCTGGTCTTAGTCCCTTTTTTCCCCAAACACACAGGAAAAGAGCTGTTGGAAGTGAGGTCCAACCAATTGGGGAGCTCCTTCTTGCTGTCCCCAAATCTGCAATGGGACAGAAGGAGACAAGCACAAAAGTGGAGGCATTATTACCCATTCAATGAAACGTAATTCAAGAAAATGATTTTTATTCCTTGCAACTTTGTTCATAAAGAAACAGGCATAATGAAACTGAAATGTAATAAGAAATATCCCTACTTAATCTGTTAATGTCCCACAATTTGGACTTTCCTACTCACAATTCCATCATCTCTCCCCCCACCCCACGCCACATCCTTGCCCAAATCCTGTTTTTTTTTGTGTGTGAAAAAGAACATACAAGTGACCCGTGACTTTCTTCCATCTCTTCTCTTCAGCGGGCAGTTTGCAGTCGTGAAGAAATGCCGCGAGAAAAGCACCGGTCTACAGTATGCTGCCAAATTCATCAAGAAAAGGAGGACGAAATCCAGCCGGCGGGGCGTGAGCCGCGAGGACATCGAGCGGGAGGTCAGCATCCTGAAGGAGATCCAGCACCCCAACGTCATCACCCTGCACGAGGTTTACGAGAACAAGACGGATGTCATCCTGATTTTGGAACTGTGAGTGCTCTCTGCGTGGCTGTGACTGGGCGGGGAGGGGATGCAGGTTGTACAGCGGTCAGCCCTGGAGCCTGGTTGGGAATTGACTGCCAAGTTCAAGAACAGCGGTGTGCTGCCCGCCCTGAGGCCTAGCTATAGTTATCTTGAGTCATTTTGAAGAGCAGCTTCCATTCATGTGGTCCCACCTGATTTGCAAGAGGGCCTCCAGTCTTGAGGTTCACTTGTTGTGAGGTCATCTGTTTTATGAGTTTTATGTTAAGCTTTACATATGTCCTCTCACACTTTTCCTCTGCTTTCTGCTCTTTCTCTACTTCTGTTCCTCTGTTCTTTTTCTCTCTCTTCTCCTCTCATTTCCCTATTCCCTCTATCTTCACACACACACACACACACACACACACACACACACACACACACACACACCATTTTCAACTCTTGGAACTGTAAATACTCATTACATGAGAGGGCAAAATTGAACCAGAATCAGTCAGAGGTGATTATGAAACTTGTTTTTAAGGCAGTTTGCTTATTTTCTGAGGCATGCCCTGCCCCTCAGATATTATTGTGGGAAAATGATTGTAGCACGTTGCCTGAGTGCCCACTTCTCGTGACGTGACAAGTCCAGCCACACAGGCGGGTGGGAGGTGAGGAGAGGAAGCCGTCTTGGGGCGATTGGCTGGGAATGTCTCTGGGGTGTTTGGAGGGAGGAGAGACATTAGTGCCCTGAGGGCGGAGGGACGGAAGATGCAAAAGGAGCCGCCAACCCTGGGTGGGTCTTAATGATGACAGGCCCCACCCATTTCCAGGGGGCCTCTGGAATTCAGTTTTCCCTTCTGCCAGCCCAACAACTCCCCTTGTTTGCAGATTTCTTAGAGGTGATTTTTGAGGCCAGAGGAGATGGCAGTGAATGGGGGATTGAGGGTAGGTCCAGCCCACCCCAGGGGCACCACATTACTGGCATTCTCAGCTTTGCAATCGCAGCAGCCTAGGGCACCCACAGCTTCTAGTCTCAGTCACTGAGATTTGGGGCACATTGCTCTATGGGTCTGAGCAACAACCTTCTTAACTATAAATTTGGGTTAATATCTACCTCAAAGGAGATAACTGATTTGAGGAGATAACTGAGACAAGAACTTAAAAATACCTAGCATAGTGTCTGGCTCATGGATATGTTTAATACATGTTTCCTTTCTTCCTTCCTTTAAACAAGGAAATTCTCAGCCTCTACACTAGTGACATTCAGGGCTGGATAATTCTTTGGTCAGGGGGCCGTCCTGTGCATTGCAGGGTGTTTAGCAGCATCTCTGGCTTCTACTCACCAGATTCTGATAGCATCCTCACCTGCAGCTGTGACAACCAAAAATGTCTCCAGACATTGCCACATGTCCCTGAAGGGCAAAAGCCCTACCCCCGACAACCACTGCTTTAAAGGAAGAACAGGATATTATGAGCACAGAGGATTAAGGCATCTGCTCAAGGTACAGCAGAGAAAAGAGAGGAATCATGGTGTAATCCTTTCTGTGGCTTTAAGTGGCCACTCAGGAGCCAACAGAACCCAGATGAAAATGGAGCAAATCCTTTACCATCACTAAGCCTAAATTTTCTCCCTTGAGGCGGTTGTAAGAGACCATGCATACAAATTTCCTGGAAAAGAAACAGTACAAATCACAGCTATTTTGCCTTTTCAGAGAATTACCAGGTCGTGCCCTGTGACTCAAGAATGTCACTTACCCTCTTTACACACTGTGCGTGTGAAGCCTGTGAGTTACTCTCCTTTTCGTTCTCACCTGTGGGTGTATATTCTGACTTCAGCTCCTGTTGACTGACCCCATTTCAAAGATATTTTCTATTATGTGTATTTATTTTCCATCATGTACGTAAACTGGGTGACATACGATTTTTTTCCTATTTAATTAAAAAATTTTTAAATGATCATACAGTAATCTTGATGGAATAGGGTTCTACAAGTCTGTGGATGTTAACGCATGTGTAGATTCATGTAACCACCACCCAAATCAGGATTCAGGACAGTCCCATTGCCCCCTAACTGCTTTATATGAACCCTTTTATAGTTGCATCTACCCTCCAGCTCTGCCTCCACCCTCAGGCAACCACTGAGCTATTCTCCATCATTTGTCTTTTTGAAAATGTCATAGAAGTCAATTTATATGGTATACAATCTTTTGAGACCAAGTGCTCCTTTCACTCAGCGTAATGCTTTTGAGATTCATGCATGAGCCCCATGCTCTTTTTTATTGCTGGGTAGTTTTTCCCTGCATGATGTTTCTTTTCTCCATTCACCCACTGAAGGACATTTGGGTTGTTTCTGGTATTTGGCGATTGTTCATAAAGCTGCTATAAACGCTCATGTGCAGACTGGCGTGTGAACCTACGTTTTCATATCCTTGGAGTAAATACCTATGAGTGGGATTGCTGGGTCATGTGGTAAGTGTATGTTTAACTTTATAAGACACGGCCAAACTGTTTTCTAAAGTGGCTGCCCCATGTTTCAGTCCCTCCAGCAAATGATAAGAGTTCCAGTTGCCCCACCAGCACTCAGTATGGTCAGTATTTGTTTTTAGTTGCAGCCATTCTAGTGGGTGCAGAGTGGCACACAACGTCACATAGTTCCTGGCGTTGCGACCTTGAATAAAAGTTGAGCGAGCTCACCAAGAGTGGCTTTTAGATGGAAGGGGCAGGAGGGACCTTAGGAGATGGTCCCTTTCCCGGGAAGTCAGATGGGAGTTTCTCTTCTTGGGCTATTTGTTCCTCACAGATCCCAGCTTCCCGTGTGAACTGATTGCCTCTGCCCTTTCACCTGCCAGACATATGGGGGCTTGTGATGGTGACTTTTATGTGTCAGTTGACTGGGCCACAGAGTGTGCAGACGTTTGGTCCAACATTATCCTGAGCTGTATCCGGGAGGGTGTTTCTGGATGACGTCCACGTTTGAATTAGTAGTCTGAATCAAGCAGATGGCCCTCCTCATTGTGGGTGGGCCGCATCAAATCAGCTGAAGGCCCAAATCAGTTGAAAAACAAAAAGTTTGACTTTACCCCAAAGAAAAGGGAATTCCTTCTACCTGATGGCCTTCGAGCTGGGACATTGGCTTTTTCCTGCCTTTGGACTGGATCTGAAACGTCAGCTGGCCTGGGTCTCCAGCTGGGTTCGGCTGACTCGCCCTGCAGATCTTGAGACTTGTCAGCCTCCGTGATTGCGTGATCCAATTTCTTATAATAAAGCTCTTTTTCTCACCTTTGTTTTCATATTACAAGCCTGTTCCATTCTGTGCCATAATCTGTGTTTTAATGTTTAATAGACTATTCAAAATATTATTCAAAATGCACGGGAGAAACAGTCATCTTTGCCTCTGAGAAAATTGTTTGTTCTTTTGACATAAGAAATGTCCAAACCTGTAAAAAAATTTTATAAGAGTTTATCTGAGCCAAAACTGATGACAGTTGCCAGGAAGCAAGATCTCAAATGTTCCAGAGAATAACAGTTTTGCAGTTTCTTTTATGCATTTGAAATTCGGAAGAGACTGCAAGGAAATTCCATGAAGGTGGGAGAAAGCAAGGTGGGGATTGGATTACAGGCTAGTTAACAAGATTGTGTGCTGTCTTGAGGGTGGTTATGGCGCATTTCAAAGGTGCAGTTAACCTAGATGCACAGAAACAGTGGACAGGGCTTGCTTAAGGCAAAGATAAACCTTTTACTAAAGAAGTTATAGGCCTGGGGCATGACTACCCACCATGACCTGCCCTGTTAGGAAGTTATGATAAAATCACCCTGTGAAGTCACTTTCTGAGACCACCTTTTTCCTCCATAGTTCTAAATTCTCACAGCTTTAAAGGAAGATTTAGCTATTAGTGACATATTCCATCTCCTATTTTCTTCCTTAAGAATGTTAAGGTATGGTGGTGGTTAAAGAGAGAATAAAATTTAAGAATTTGTCAGAAAACAGCCCTATGACATAATAATGGCCATTTGCCTGTGTCTCCTGGCACAGTAAGTAATCTTTGAGTAGATGTATTTTTCTGATGTATTGCTTTGGGATGAACTCCACGGCAGGTAGAGCTTCCTAAGGCTTACTGATGGAGCTTGTCCCCACGCTGAGACCTTATGGCCATCTCCACTGGTACGTGTGAGTTCTTGCCTCTAAACTCCAGGCCCATCCTTACCGCTGAGATAAAGGACCCCAAACCAGCACTCTGCTCGCTTTTTAATGAACCGCTCCCAGTGTCCTGGGCGAGGTACAGAAATGATATCTTTTCTGCCCTTTTTATAAAAACGATTTGTTGTCTGCGGTAAAGGCACAATTGTCAAATCCTAGTCCAGGATCTGCCCTTTAAAATTTGTGTTGAGCCGTGCAAGTAGCTTTAAAGAAAGACTCTCCTGCCACTTGCTTCACCGGGAAATCATCTTTTCACAGCTGATCGGCTCTGGCTGCTCAGCACAGCATCTACACGAAGGAGGCATATGTGATATCTCACATGCACGATCTCGTGTCCTCCACATCCTGTTGTGCCTTGAAGAAACCATGCCAATACAAAGCCTCTTTACTGTGTTGTAGCTCACCCACACATGGTCACACAGGCGAGGCACTGCAAAGCTTTCATCTTCAGTGCTTGAGTCATTTTATAATATGTCCTGTTACCTGATGAAAAGTGAAGTTCCACTGTCCGAACTCCAAGTCAGTGCTCATCAGACACCGGCTTCCAAAATTTCGTTCCTAAGCTGGCTGCTGGAAAGAGCTAAGTATTGCAGGCTGTGGATCGTGATGCATTTTTCTATCTATCCTGTCCAGCTTTTAGGGACCAGATTGGCAGCAACATAAATGGGAGAGGTTGGTCCGCATGAAGCCTCATGTCAGGGAGGCATCAGGGAATGGTGAGGACTGTGGCTAATGGAACCCTCATGCCCCACCTCAGAGAGGCAGCCACCAGTCCATTGACTGTCACCATGTAGAATTTTGGATCCAGTGTTATCAGATCTTGCTTTTT